CGCGGAGTCAACAAGGGGGTATCCCTTGGTCTGGCAAAGCGCCACTTAGGTATCCCTACTGTTTTGGAGCCTGGATGGTTGTTGGGACCCCTTCTCGCCTCGTGTCGCTTGCCAGGGAGAACAAAAGGGTTTGTTCATACACCACTTTTGGGGTGGTGTTGAAAGCGAATTCAAGCGGAAGCCGCCAATGTTCGGTTCACCGCATGTCAAGACACACATTGAACTGCTTCTTAGGTGGTTGAAAGGCGCTGTTTGAAAGGCGCTGCAATGTTTCTGTGGGCATTGCATTGAACAGCTAGTTTGCCTTGTTTATTCCTGGGGTTTGACAGAGACAAATCATGTTGCGCATTTCTGTGTGCCACCCTGGTGCAAGGCCTCATTGGTCACCATGTAGAGGCAGCACCCCATCAAGGACAATCGACCTTGCTTCTATTGTTTAAATGCATTGTCACCACGCGCCCTCGTCTAAATGCACAGGCTTGACTCATTGACCACTGCGATGGATCTTGCTGCCTGACCAAGCAAGCAAGGAAGCAAGGAAGCAAGGAAGCAAGGCAGCAAGGAAGCAAGGAAGCAAGGAAGCAAGGCAAGCAAGCAAGCAAGCAAGCAAGCAAGCAAGCAAGCAAGCAAGCAAGCAAGCAAGCAAGCAAGCAAGCAAGCAAGCAAGCAAGCAAGCAAGCAAGCAAGCAAGCAAGCAAGCAAGCAAGCAAGCAAGCAAGCAAGCAAGCAAGCAAGCAAGCAAGCAAGCAAGCAAGCAAGCAAGCAAGCAAGCAAGCAAGCAAGCAAGCAAGCAAGCAAGCAAGCAAGCAAGCAAGCAAGCAAGCAAGCAAGCAAGCAAGCAAGCAAGCAAGCAAGCAAGCAAGCAAGCAAGCAAGCAAGCAAGCAAGCAAGCAAGCAAGCAAGCAAGCAAGCAAGCAAGCAAGCAAGCAAGCAAGCAAGCAAGCAAGCAAGCAAGCAAGCAGAGCTAGCTGCCAACCGGAGCAAGCAAGCGAGCGATCAGCCAAGCAATCAGCAAGCCAGGCAAGGCAGGCATTGCAAAGCAAGGCAGGCCAAGCAAAGCCAAGCAAGGGCAAGCAAGCGCAAGCAAGGGGCAAGCAAGGCAACAGGGCAGGCACAGCAAGCAAGGCAACACGGCCAACAAGGCAAGCAAGGCAACAAGGCAAGGCAATCAAAGCAAGCTAGCTAGGGCAAGCAACCGGTAACCAAGCAATCAACCAACCAGAAACAGATTCCATGAATGGGGCAATAAAGTTTAAAGATTGGCGTGCGAGGCACAAGCCAAACAAGAATGTTCGACCTCTCAAAAAGCGCTCAGGTCGATGATATGAACTCCAAGCTGGATGAGCCGGGAGCACCAGGATTTCGGCACCCGTTTCAAGCCATCCACTTCTGTACCGGAAACTCCGAAAGTGCCGCCCTCACCAATGCCCTTGAATGCAAAAAACGATTTAAATCCTGAACCTCCTCAGATTGTAGTGTAAGAACATCCTCCAAAATGCTGATCTTTTATGGCCCCAGTGTTGGAAAGCAAAGAATTAGTCAGTAGGAAGGTGTTCCACTGGTATTTCGGAAGGGGCTGTTCCCACAATCCTCTTCCACGGAATGGCAAGAGATCCGGGTGAAGCATCAGGTTGGAGGAGGAGTTCAGTGCTTGCCAGACCACACAGCTTTAGCGCTTGCATGTCATGTTTCTGTTTCATGCTAGCCAAGAACAAGATGACATGCGATTCTTTAAACACTATGGGTAGATGTTCAATTTTGGAACCTGAGCCTAACTCCCAAAGCAGGCGTTTGTAAGAAGATCATAGAAAGCTATGTGTAGTTGCATCTGCATATGTATATGCACATATATATATATATATATGTTCCAGTCTTCCTTGGCCCCCACCCCCACCCCCCCCCAATGGTCATGCTCAGTCAAGAAGGTAGCACAGTGTGGCCGCACAACCCGCCCCCCCTGTGGGATGGGGGGGGGGACGGGGTCCATGGTTCCCACCCCCCGCCCCCCCTGCAGGAATCAGGGTCGGGGTCTATAGAAGGTAGCACAGTGTGATTGTACAAGACCCCCCGCCCTTCTGTGGGATGGGTGTGGGGGGTCTATGGTTCCCACCCGCCCCCCTGTTAGAAGGTAGCACAGTGTGACCGTACAACCCCCCCCGCCCTCTCTGTGGGATCCCACCGTACAACCCCGCCCCTGTGAGGGATGCGTGGGGGGTCTATGGTCCCCACCTCCCCTCTCCCCCTTGCGTGGGAATGGGTTGGGTAAAACACAGGTAGGTAGCACAGTGGGACAGTACACGGGGTGCATGGTTCCCCCCCCCGCCCCTGGATGGACCCCTACTACCATTCGGGGGGGGGAGGGGGGGGGGGGCTGGGGACGACGGGCGACGGGAACATATATATATACACATACATATTTATATTGTATACATATTGTACATGAAACAATACATATGTAAACGTACACGTATGTGTACGTATTGCATTCACCCTTTGCTTG